CCGGAAAGAGAAAGAAAAATACCATATGACATCACTCATATGAGGAATCTAAAAATTAATGATGACACAAATGAACTACTTAATATTTATAACTAAGATGATTGACTTGAATATGTGTAAGCACATTTGACTGTCCTTTAAGATTGGATTACTGCATTCTGTTGATTCTTATTTTGTAATTGGCTTTATTCCTTTGATAACTATGTTAAGTTTAATCTGTTCTTAGAAACAATAATTAGTACATATATGTAAACTAAAAATATTGTGCAGTATACTGTATATATGTATGTACACTCAATATAATGTGTATGTGCAGTCAAACTCTAATAATTCTATCTAATAAAACTGCAAAAGGAGGAAAAAAAAACCAAAACTTACCCATTTTTGGTGTTCAGGGAGATGTCGCTTTGAGAAAGATCCCCAATGTTCTCCTTGCTGCAAGTCGTAAATCCTTCCTTCTGGAGAAAAAAAAAGAACAAAGGGCTTGGGAGATTTGTGTGACCACAGAAGCCGTGACAATAGCCAAAGGGGATGGGAGTGCTCTTCCTAGAGCAGTACTACCACTCATATACGATGTGTTACTTTCACTGCTTTCTGAAAGAGGAGGAAAATGACCCCTCTTCTGAGGATATAGAATACCAGATATGTAAAGATGTCATATTCCGGAAAGTCATCATTCTTGTCATCTTTCCTTAAACACTGTGAGCATTTTCTCCCTTCAGGTTTCATGGAGTATATATGGTGGGAGAAAAATTATGGCTTGCATTTATTTTAAAAAAATTTTTATGTATGTATTTTATTGAAGTATAGTCAGTTTACAGTGTTGTGTCAATTTCTGGTGTATAGCATTATGCTTTAGTCATACATAAACATACATACATTCATTTTCATATTCTTTCTCACCATAGGTTACTACAAGATATAGTGCTATGCAGTATGAACTTCTTGTTTATCTCTTTTATATGTAGTAGTTAGTATCTGCAAATCTCGAACTCCCAATTTATCCCTTCCCACCCGCTTCCCCCACTGGTAACCATAAGTTTGTTTTCTATGTTTGTGAGTCTGTTTCTGTTTTGCAAATAAGTTCATTTGTCTTTTTTTTTTAAGATTCCACATATGAGTGATATCATATGGT